TGAGTCATTATATTCAATATGAATTTAGGATCAATGGGCATTCTTTAGGCACTGTAAAAAAAATTACATAATTACATTTGTAAGTTGGAATACAGAATACAAGAAGGATTCCCTCAATAGACTCCTTTTTGGCATAGATTTACACATTACATATACAGAAAGCATAACAGCTGTGCAGCAGTTGTTGTTTTGTGTTTTTTCCCCTGAGACTACGCGGTTGTTAAACCTTCTTACATTTGGTTTACACACACCCAGAGCTAAGGAGAATCAAATTTAATGTCCTTCTCCAGTACAGGCAGTCATATAGTGGATTCAGCTTCTCAAATCTAGTACCACTGAGGTCATAACATAATGTTTACATTGCTTTATGGCATGCATTAGGAATGAAATTGAAAACTGAAACCAAAGAATTTGATTATCTTTTTTTAATGAAATCAAAGTAGTTAGCCAACTACATTTTCTGTTTATCTTCTGATAAAGGTTTAAATTGTGTACGGATAGATAAATAATACTTTAATCAGGCAGCCTGAATCACGTATATCTCCCTCAAGTGCATATCAAATGCATCCTTTATCTAATGTGTATATGCATCCAGAGTATGTGGCCTCTATGATGGGAAAACATTCATGCTAATTAGATTGCAAGCAACCCAATACTTGTAAGCACGAGTCTATATGTGATCCATTGTGAGCTACTGCTTCCACTATTAAACCACAAATCTGTTTCTCACAGACACATTATTGTTGGCATCCATTCAGTAGGTGACCACACACTCCACAACACTTGATTAAAACCATCCAGACAGTTATCTATGGGGTACATTTTCACAGAGGAGGCATTTGCATGTCTGTATTTCTTAATCCAGGCCCTCAGCTCGCCATCACCGGAGAGTATCAGGATCTACCACTATCAAAAGACAGTTTAAATGAGGCAAGTAGCAAGCGGAGTGTTTCTGCTCAGAATGGCAACAATAATGGGATGTGTGTGCTGTAACCTCACACACAAGTTCGGTAACACTTCAGAATTGCTTAGCATTCAGCAGCTGATTCCACCACTGAAAGGGATATGCATCTTTACTTAGAGAGAAAGAGAGGGAGAGTGTGTATAGGTAGTCCTCCCCAGTGTCTGGCTGAAGGCCTCCCTGGTGGATTATGTTACCCAACAATGGCAGTGGCCTTTCACAGTTGGAGCATGCTGCAATAGCTGGAAGGCAAACGACCATGACTCTCTCCCCATTTCTCTCACTCTCCCACCAGAATTGACATTGTTCCCTGGCAAAAGCAGGTCTAATGTATGTTTTTATACTAACAAATGTGTGCTCTAGTTTCTGGTGTGAGGAAAACAGAAAAGCAGGCAATCACCGCACAGTTTGTTATTTATATATATTTATATATATATATATATATCTTTTTACATCCAATCTGCAGTCCAAGGCTTTTATGTTTGAAAACTGTGACATATATATATATATATATATATATATGTCACAGTTTTCAAACATAAAAGCCTTGGACTGCAGATTGGATGTAAAAAGATACACTGTACGCTACTTTGTGTTTTTAAATGTGTATAGAGATGCATGCTGTCAACAGTGAGAAAGAAAGGCAGCCCGGGGCTTAGACTGTAGTGTGACCTGCAGGCATTAGCAGGCATGAAGGGAAGCTGTAATGGCAAACAATGCTCCTCATCAGTGACTCAAAAGCTGCTGCACACACAGAAATCCCACAGCGGAGCAGTGTATATCCACCAAAGTGACATTATCAGTGTCAGTATACTTTGCCTCATGCTTTAGCTGCAGTCTGATATCAGGGTCCCCACAAATTAATTATATTTGTCAGCTGAGTGACTGTCTCAGATAAACGAACGAATTATGGCATTCAAGAATATAGAAAAAAATGTACAATATCAGAGATGCTATTACGAGCAAATCCTAGGAAGCAGAAAGCGTTTTGTGGCTTAACCCCTGCCAAAAGACAGATAATCTCAGAAGTGTAGTATTAGTACAGGTTGCTGTGCACCAAGTATACGTTCATTCAACATCCGGCACAGTGTGTCCCGTTTCACCGGTGATGTCACACCAATTCTTCACGAGGGCCTGTGCACAGTCTCTAATGCAACCGTCTTTATTAAGTTCGTAGTTTGATCCTAAAGAATAACTTTCTTTAGCTTCTCTGAGCTAACCCATAGCTTTTTCTCCTGCTTTAAAAAAGATTCACAGGAGAAAAGCTGAAGAAATTAAATTGGCCTGCTGACAGCTCCCATACGACCAATCTAAGCAGCACCAGAAAGTGCGCAGGCTGAGATTAGACGGGTAGAGCAGGAGTGCTTGAAGAGTCCCCTCAAGCCAAACTAGTAAGTCTTCTTATTGCCAGAGTGAAACCTCGGAAACAGAAGATGTCCTGTTCTCATAAGTGAACCACAGACGAGCAACAAGACGTAGTGAGACCCGACAGGGCTCGGCGCTGCTGAACAGTGCAGTGTAATTAAAATTCAAGAATGAAAAAAAGAACACAGCCTGGATTTATAGCACATCAGAGAATCCGGCAATAGCTGACTCATCATTGCTGTCATCCACAACCATCATTATGATATGACTGTGACTTCTGGTCTTCACTAATAAAACCTGAGGGGCGACAAGTCATGAGTAACAGCTATGTCATCACTGTGCTTTGCGAAATCTTCTTTGCCGTCATCGTGCCTTAATTTTATTGTAAACCCTTGAGGTGTCAGAAAGCAATATTTGTCCCACTGCTAGTCCAAGCCTTCCTTCTGCCCCCCAGGCTTCTCAAATCTGATGGCCCCTTTAATAATTGCACTTTAATTTCAGGCTTCCGTGGCTTAAGAGGCAATCTCATGCAGAAGAGAAAGCAAGCTTGTTTGGCCTGCCCGCGATGATGATACATTTACATCTGGACAGCATTATTTGCATGATTGAGTGAGACTTGGTGAGGAAGGAAGAAGTGTGAAAAGTACAGATATTCAGCATCCATTATCTCACCTCGAAAGCATTCTTAATATTCCACTGGCAGCACCCAGAAAGCAGTAACCGAGGAAGTGTTTAAATGTATTTTTTTGTAGCAGAGCAGATATCATCGCGATTTTAACTAAACAGGATCAACAAAAATACAGTCCGACAAGGACAAGCCCCTCGATTACTGATGTGGACAAAGTAATGGCTACAAATCATCCACAGTTCAGTCAGTTCTTACATTTTCTGTGACTTTGCTGAATATGTGGAAATGACACAAGGGGATGCTACTAGAGCTGATAACAGCATCAAGACAAAAGGGAAGCTAATGAAGGATAGGGTTTAGAGTTCAGCCCCGAGTCCATCATTAACTGACAGGCAAAGACGAAATGCTGCTAATGATCACTCAGACACTCCTCCTCCTCCATGGTGGTTTGAAGCCACTGCAGTCAGTAATATGAGATGCAGAGGGTCTGTAAAGGAGGACTGGGTTGGAAAGGTGAGCAGATGTAGGGTCCTTGTGTTTAACAAGGAAAGCGTGCATGATTATAGTTTAAGGAAGTGACACATGCGCCGAGGGAAGATCAACAGATTGAGGGATTGTTCCCTGCTTCTTTCAGATAAGAGAATGCGCTTGGGGGGGGGAGTCTGCCGTGCAATGCCTTTCAATTTCTGTAGGAATATAAAGAGGAAGATAACACGGGGAGAGAGGGGGAAAAAAATCATTAAATATGCTTCTTGTTCTGTAGCACATGACCTCAAAATGTGCAGATCTGCATGAGCTGCAGCTTTCAGTCAATAGTCCCATTTCTGTGTGTGTTAAGTGCTTAATTCATTTTGGGAGTCTATTAATGGCTTCTTCATAGTTCGTTAACCTCTTAGCCTTGATCCCTTCCTGTCATTCTTGAATTCTGTTCTCTCTACCTTGTAGCATGCATACGCATATATGCATATATATATAAAAATCAGTGCCCCTCCACACACGCAATAATTACTGAGTGTATCATTCCCATCCATAATGAGCCATTAATGCAGCGTTATTTTCGCAGACAAACTCCTTGTGCATTTTTACATCAGACAAGTGATCCATTCAAATCACATCTGGAGTTAGTCCAGAGAGTAATTTACAGATGTAGCGTTGTTCATTTGTATGGGCTGAATTACACAGGCTACTACTCGAGGCAGTGTTTTAATGACTGGAATCACACATTCAGGCTGGAAGAAGTGCAGAATACATTCAACACCAAAGCCAATTTCCAAGGAGACTGGGTGACCAAAGAATAGTCTGAATAAACCCACAGAGCAGCTTGACGTGGATATAGAAATAAGGAATTTAACCCCTAATATCCAGTAGAGCTCGCACCATCTGCAAGGCTTCAGCGCTGGATATTAAGAAGTGACCAGAATGCTACTCCCAAACCTCTGGACGTGGAGAGTCATGGCACATGTTCTCATGGTCACTGCTGCATCCTCGTCTAACAAGTGGCAGTATCATGTTCTGATCCCCCCCCTCCCCAAGCATTCATTAGAAGAATCACTGTTTACTGTGTTCTTGTAAAAGAGAAATTCTGCAGTTTTGTCGTCATATTAAAATCCCAAATACGCAATTGCAGACGCGGTTGTTCCGTCAAGGCGCACGGAAAGGGTGACTGGATATTTTTGCCTCATTATCACTTGCGGCAAGTGGTAGGGACAGCTGTCAACGTGCTAAAGGGGAACGTCCAGCCCAACAACTTTGCCCAAATATGAGGCGTTTTGTGTTTTTGTTTTTTTTTCCTTTTTAGGTGCCCCGTGTTTTAAAGAAACTTGTAAAAAATAATAATAAATCTAAACAGTAAATCGTGAAAAAAATAATTTGACAACATGAGAAAAAACAGTATTGCATCCCAGGTTTGCATGTTTTAATAAAAGTAGATGTCGAAACACTACTTGATCAAAGAGAGGATTGTTTTTAAGTCACGACAGGTGCAAACAAATACTCACTGCAGAATGAATGAAACGGGGGGAAAAACAATTTGCGCAGTTGCCCTACCTTGTCAACACAGTAGACTGACCGTCCCACAGTTGCCTCCAGAGTAGTCCTGGGAATTCGGCTGAAATTGCTTCTTTGCTTTGAGATTATTACAAGTAGGGATTGATCATATACGACGTCACTTGGATGATAAGGTCCCACTGACTGTAGTATCTTCCTGTATCGCTCCGTCTGTGAGCTGCAGAGGCATCACTGAACGTATGAAACAGCGCTTCACACGAACGGAGAAAGGGAAAGTCCGACATGGAGTCTGCTGCCTGGATTCCTCCGCGGTAGAGTCGTCCGGTTTTGGCTCACGAAACATATTAGAGACCAGCTTTAAAATTCTTACGATGTCATTTGAATTAACACTTAAGCTTAGGTTGTTATAAGCATAAGGCGGGAAAATATACTCACAGCAGCATTTAATTAGCTAATTTACAGGCTAGGTTAAAGGTTAATTACTAACAGCTATAAGCTAATATTGCCATAACTCAACATTTACCTGAACAACAGGAATACTGAGGCTGTACAAGGAGTTATTGACAGGTATGTCTAATAAAAACAATAGCGGCTTCAAAACACTTAATATTGTAAAGCAAAGACCCTACAGTAATACCAGGAAACCCCAAACACCCAGACAAGCGCCCTACGAACAAACACTTGGCGCTATTGGGAAGGAAAAACTCCCTTTTGACAGGAAGAAACCTCCAGCAGGCTAAAGGAGGGGCAGCCATTTTTCCACTGGGGGTGAGGGGAGGAAGACAGCACAAAAGACACACTGAAAGAGAGCCAATATTAGCCTAATAGTAGCTAATGACTAAATGCAGAGTGGTGTTTAAAGGTGAGAGGAGAAGACACAGTGCATCATGGGAAGCCCCAAGCAGCCTAGACCTATTGCAGCATAATTAAGGGAGGATTCAGGGTCACCTGATCCAGCCATGTATGCTTTATCAAAAAGGAAAGTTTTAAGACTAATTTTTTAAAGTAGAGAGGGTGTCCAAACTGGGAGCTGGTTCTACAGAAGAGGGAGCTGGAAGCTGAAGGCTCTGCCTCCCATTCTACTTTTAAATATCCTAGGAACCACAGTTACGCCAGTAATCTGAGAGGGAAGTTCTCTAAAATATTAGGGATAAATGATTTAACCTAACACAGCTCATTTAACCTAAAGTTTTCAATTCCCATCTTACCAAAGGAATCAAGAACTGCATTTTAGCCTCAGTTCTTAAGCCAACTTATATCAAAAGATCTTACGTGATAAATAAAATAATACAAATTTTAAGCGTGGGTGAAATATGGCCTGGTTGCAGCAGGTGTCGTACAGGTCATGCACCACTGTGGATGTCATCCCATTTGTAAGGAAAATGCATTTGGCAGAGAAAATCTGTTTTTCAGGGGCCCAGTCCATTTACTTTGCTATGCTGCTCAACCCACAAATGCATTTTTCTTACAATTGTGGCATCATTTAAAGGGGACATAAACAGGCTTTCCAATGATATCAGATTAATTTGCAAGGAGCATTGTTACAAGAATGAAATATTTAGCCAAACACAAATTGCCTTACTTTTTGTGCTAAATTTATACATATTAAAGAAAACTACTGTTTTGCAAACATTCTCATGAGTCGTTATTACTGCATCTACTCTGTGTTCTGCATTATTATTAATCCAGACTTATTTATAGAGCTGTTATGTCAAATTTGTTGCGATTTCTGTTGTCCTCTTGGATAGATCTGTCTAGAAAAAAAAAACCAACGTTATAATTAATCACACACATACACAAAAAAATTCATAACTGTGTCACATAATGCATACTTCTCCCATTACGCTCTCTCTCTGCCAGTGACACTGCTGAATGACTGGAGGCTACTTTGCTAGTTAAAAAAACAACAAGAACCAACAAAGCATGGCAGCCAGTGTGTTATGCCTGCCAGGCAGTCTGAATCTGATAACAAGGTTGCATACTTCAATGGCAAAACCCTGGTAACAACAGCAGCAGGACCATAGACTGGTGTTGGATTTTGAAAGATCGGGGTTTAACCAAATCACTTATGCATGTAGAATGTGATACATGGCTGTGCTTTGGGTTTGACAGTGCACAAGAAAATAGCTGCATTGACACATTATTAGGAGGATTTACTGTAGCCCAAAGGCTTTTCATCAACAAGCAATCAACAATTTATTGGTGGCAGTCAGTCAATAAAGGCGTTCCCGGAAAGTGTGGGTGAAATCAATATTTCTGTGACCCAACTCACAACCCGAAGTCTGAGAGGGAGGGAGGGAAAAATAAATAAATAGAGCTATAATGAGTTGTTACACTTGCTCTGTATGCAAATAAGATTGATTATTTGCGTTGCTGGTGAAGCATTAAGAATGAACTGAGGTGAAATTTGTACAAATCACACTAGCCAGTTTTTGTTCCTCATTTCACTCCATTTGATGTTCATTATGGGTGTAATGATTCAAGCCTGCCTGATCCCAGTGCGATGACAGACTTTTCTTTCTGAAGGGAAAACTAAATTCTCCCTCGAAGCTGACAGCAGTAAATCTCTCAGAGCTGTCCTTCAAGAACAACAAGGGCAGAGATCTAAACACAGGAGCGTGTGTGTATGCATTGTACTTGGATTGTGTGTGTGCGTGAGTGTGTATGTGATGTCTTCAAGGGAACTTGTGCTGATGCTTTTAGTCCCTGAGGAGGAATGTGTTGTCCGATTTGCATCACAGTATCTCGGATGAGCAGAAGACCAATGACGCTTACCTAGGTCCACATATTAAAGTGTGTTATGAGGCTTGGTTCCTTCAAAATTTGCCAAGAAAAACAAAATCCATGACGCTAACTTAACCAAATCAGCAAAACTGAAAATATTTAATATTGTATTTTTAAAAAAAGAGAGCAGTGTTTGAAGACATTTTTCAATGAATTTGTACTGAACAGCTACTCTTGGTGTATGCATTTGTGTAGCCGGTCTATGAAAAAATCCGGACCATGTTTTACCCTTCTCTCAGACTCAGCATGCAACAGCCAGCTATTTATCAATAATTCAGTCCAAAGGAGGTTTGCAAACATACAAAAAAATGACAGAAAGTGAAAAGTAACTGTTAGATTCTGTCATCACAATTAACCTCAAATGACATCTTGATAGTCTGTCAGGAATCACAGACTCTTCAGCTCTCAAAGAACTCCAAGATGCTATTTTAAGAATTAAGAATACATGTCTTGCTTTTAATTTTCCTTTCTGTAATTCAATATTAGTAATGTTCAGTATTTTAATGTAAATTTAAGTATTGACTCTTACAACAGAATAATCTGGTGGCTCATGATTACATTTCAGTTTATTTGATTAATCATATTTATGATGCTTGGAGATGAAGCACAAGCCATATTCATGTAAATTATTAATCATTCATTAAAAATTCTGCTGATGCTGCCACAGTAATGACAGCATAACAGTATCAATCCTAATGAGTCTGTTTAAAAATGAGACCAAAGCATCAACTAGCTGAACTTTTAAAAGAGTAATTTGCTTGCAGAGATAAATATGTTGGGTGAATAAAAGTAAAAGGAATCTGGACTGCATAGCAACTGAAATTGTAAAAAATTAACAAAACAAATATATATTTGCATCTATGACAGCTTATTGATTGCAGCAGTAGTAGGCACCAGATGTCAGCCAATTTCAGTTCTACCTTCCAATCCTTTTCTTTACTGCCACTCGTCCTTCTTCTGCTGCTTCTCTCAGAACGATTTCAGACTTGAGAGATTAGCAGTTCTCGGCTACGAGGCGTGGCTGGATGAAATCAGTTTCACTGGATAGGAGACTGTAAGCACATTCCCACCCAGCATTTTTGATCGGTGCTCGTGGAAGAGACCCGAGGGACATGTGAAAACCTTTGATGTTCCCTTCAAGACTGTTGCTTTCCAGCTTGATTTAATCCAAGCCTCTTTGTCTTGGAGAAATTCATTCCAGGCTGGAAAATAACGGGTAAACATTACTATCTGATTTAAACCTTTCAGTAGTTTTAAACTTAAGTGTGCACACATACAGTGTACTACAATGGCAGATGCTGTGTGTGAAGGTCTGAAGTTAAAGATCGAACGAACATGTTGCATTTTCTAATTTCACAGTTAATGTTGCACATCTTTTAGCCCAAGGAAATGATAACTCATTACAAGTCCTCATGCACATAACTAAACATTCATATTCACAAGAAAGAACTGAAGTGATGCACAAACCAGGGGAATTTGTTTATGATCTGTATGAACATACACAATATGCTGATTATCGTGTTTACTGCATGCGAAGTCTTCTTCTGCAGCCATCTAAACACTAGTAAAAATACTAAGAATAGAAATGGCACTGGAGCTAAATAATTCAGATGTAGGGGGTGGAATACAAAATGAGTTTTTCAAAAACTAAAAAATTACAAGCCCCTGAAATGCTGATATTATAAAATCACAATGCTGTGAGTGATTTGTGTGTGTACATATTAAATCATTGGCTAAACATTATTTCAGATTAGGATGAACAAATCAGATCTTGGAATTGTATCATATTGATCCATTTAGGGTGTATTGATTGAGTTCATGTATTAAGGATTATCATAAAATAGTTAACACATACCACTAAAACCAAATTGGTAAAAGTCTTTTTTGTACCTCTGGCCTTACTTTCAACACTCTAAACCGCTGGATTTAAAAAAGAATCAAACTCCTCATCTTTCAGAACAGAATAGGCGACATTTACACTTTTTTACTGCTCACATTCACGCGGCTGCCCTCTGCCATTCATGCTTAGCCTCTCATTCCCCTCTACGGGACTTTTGCTTTTCACACTTAGCTAAACTTTACAAAAGAAATTCATAGGGAAGTATTAAATATTGAACAGTACGAGTAAGAGTGTAACAGCGGTCATCTGTCAGCACAGGGGATGAGTGGGAAAGAACAAGATTCATGGGTAAAGGAAAACAGCTCCCTACACCAGAGCAAAAAGGAAGAGATGAGAATAAAAATATCTGTTATTGATCTCCATTTTTAACCCATCCTGAAAGCTTGGAGTAGTAGTCCACCAGCATATCCCTGCATGAGGACTGACTAGAAGATCATGTAAACACAGTAAAACCCTGGCCCCATGTGGACTCTCTTACTGTGAGGCAGTGGAGCTTACTACTGAGTCAGTTTCTCAGTA